GAAGAAGGGAAAAACAAGAAAAGGCAGTGGGTAAAAAAAAAAAAAATATATCAAGGGAAAGCCAAGTCTAAAGACTAGATAGTCAAAGGGGGCAGATAAGAACCATTAATTAGCAAACAACAAAGAATCAGAAAACACTTAAGAATGATGAAATATCTAGATGGGATCATAAAATTCTTCAAAGACAAAGAACCATTGTCGCCCTCATTGTTCCATAGGTAGGTAATGACCTAACCATCCAGTATTTTTGTTTAATCCAGAGGTGTGAGAATTGAATTTGTGAATGTGATGAAACTCCAGTCCTTTCCTGTGTATTTGGCTCCTGTAATTGGTTTGTAACAAACAGCCACTTGAAGATCTGTTAATGCATGCCCAGGGAGATTAAAGTGTGCCCCCACAGGCTTTTGTATGTTCCCTTTATGGATTTGTGTCCATTAATTCTTTCATGTAGAATAGTGATAGAAATGTAGCCGTGTTAGTCTGGTGTAGCTGAGACAAAATACAGGACTATGTAGCACTTTAAAGACTAACAAGATGGTTTATTAGATGATGAGCTTTTGTGGGCCAGACCCACTTCCTCAGATCAAATAGTGGGTCTGGCCCATGAAAGCTCATCATCTAATAAACCATCTTGTTAGTCTTTAAAGTGCTACATAGTCCTGTATTCTTTTATGTAGGGACTCTCCAGCCTGTCCAAAATATATAGAGGTGGGGCATCCAACACTCCGGTCATCTGAAGAAGTGGGCTGTGCCCACAAAAGCTTATTATACCATCTACATGTTTTGTTAGTCTATAAAGTGCTACCAGACTATTTGTTGTTTTTTCAGTTTACCTGTACAGACTACCTTGGGTACCCCCTAAAGCTTCTGGTCTATGTAGTTCAGTGTGTATCAGCATCCAGATTTGTGATATAAAATGCTCTGGGAAAACGCCTAAATGACAGGTTTTTTACTTTATTTACATATGATAATCATATATATAGTAGCCCAACGTCTGAGAGTCTGTAACGCTGAAATGCTGGCTGTTCCCTCTGGGCAGCCCGTGTTGCATGGGGAGTGCGGGGCCCAAATGGCCGCTTGCTCCCCCGCGGCAGCCTGGCTTCTGCACTGCTCAGCCAGGCCACCGCGTGGGAGCAAGTGGCGCAAGTGACCGTTTGGGCTCCGCGCCCCCCAAGCAACACGGAGAGTGTGTAGCCACCGTCCTCCGAGTGAGAGGCAGGAGGGGGACTCAGCTACCCCTCTGATGCTTCCCATTAGTTCAGCCAAATATTTGATAGGGTAAATTTCTGTCAGGTGTGATTTCCAAAGCACCATCTGTGCTATCTGTAGAGGATGGGGTTTTTTCCAATGCCCAACTACAGAGAATGGAGGAGACACCTGAAAAATCCCATCTTATGACAGGCTAATTGGCTAGTTTCATAATAATAGCCCAATTTAGTGAATACAAAAATAAAAATCTCTCATGTTTAAAAAAAGTTCATGTCAAGAATACTCCAGGCAGGCATTGTTGCCAAATTACATCCTTGAATGACCTGCTATGTTAAAGGCAGGGGAAATTGGGGAAACTAGTTTTGTAGTGAGTCAACCAGTTAAGATCTCTATTCGAGCCCAGGGTAACAGTGTCAAATCTGCAAATGAATTCCAGCTCATGGCCACTCACTGAAGACTATAGAAACTATTCATGAAGCTTAATGGACTGAATTTGGCCGTAAGTACAGCTATGAACTCAGAGTTTGCATGCATCATATACCACAATACAGTTTAAGTAGTAACAAACAGTGGTGGTGTTAACATTTATAATTAAAACTCTGTATAATGTAATGCATTATTTGCTTTTGAGTAGGATTTCTTAAAAAAGAATGACAGCCTGCTCATTTTCTTCTAATAGTTTTGGGGATGGGATAAGAGATGAACGGATACTTTTAAGTTTTAAAATGAAATTTTTCAGTGTTAGAAATTATTGAGGGGGTTGTGGAAGGGAGAGATGATAAAAATATAATACACATCAAGTCTTAAAAGAAATGGTACTTTCAATTAAAAAAACCCATAAAGTTATACCCACAGAAGGAAGATGTGTGCTAGAGAAACAGTTATTTAATTTGCATTTTACATACTGATACAGATTAAAAAAAAATAAAAAATGGGTGTGGCTCCAAGCAGCATTACTTGTGAATTGTGGACTTAATAAACATGTTACATATTTTGATAAAATTTAGATGCACTGCACATCCTGGGACTGCAAAGTGCTGAGGTTTAGGTGTTGTAGATATTTTTGCTTATTAACAGTCTACAGTACTTACAATGTATTAAAACCATTACTTAGAAAAAACACAACACAATAAAAGTCAGATGTAAGATAGACTTTCCACTTCCAACCATTAGAACACAATTCTAGAAAGCATAGTACAGTGTGGCATTTCATGCAGATACAGTAATGAATTTAACAAATATACTGACATGCAAATTATTTTGGTAAATGTTTTTCCCATTTCAGTCTGTTGTTTGTGTTTGTTTACAAAGTTCATATCTTCACCTCAGGCACTGGAATACCAAATTCAACCAGAGTGTCTAACTTTCAAAATGTACAGACAAAGCTTTTTACTGTCCCATTTAAATGGAAGAAAAAATTTAAGGTTTTTTTTTTCTTTACATGTTCTTACAATCTGTCTATCATCTACAATAGGGAACATATTTTTGTTTTGAAGCTAACGGCAGGCAAGACCAGTGTTGACAAGCCAGTCCTAATCAGCATTTACCTGCAATCTAAAATAGTTTACAATTCGTGAGTATCAATGCAACACTCATTTTTAGTCAAAAGCGAGTCTTAGTTGTTAAAATTTAAATGAATGTAGAAAGAACTATGTCATCTGATTCACATGGCAAAACTTCATAAGCAACACATTTAAAGAATGTACATCAAATATAGTTAAAAAGGTATGACAGAGGACAGTTGTTTCAACTAGTTTATATATAACTCTAATACAGAGACTCTCAAACTGTAATCCATGGACCACCAGTTGTCTGCAAGCTCCATTCTGGTGATCTGTTGATACTCCCTTTAAAGGTATGCACCTGGGCAGCCATACACAAGAGAATGAAGAATTGCCTACATAATTAGTGTCTCACTGATGCAGCTCTACTGATTTAGGTACCTGAACCCTGGACCTTGACATGTAAGGTGAGATGGTGGCATTGAGGAGGTTCAGTGGGGGGCACTGGGGTGAGAAAAGGGGTGGAGGGAATTTGGGACATTCAAGGCTGCAACAGCCACAGAAAAGAGGCAACTAGCTGCAGCTCCACAGCTGTGGAAGCTGGGGGAGAGATGGTCCTCCTTCCCAGTCAGAGCTCTGTGGCAGGGGAGAGATCCCTACTGATACTAAAATATGAATTGTGTGCTTGTATTTGTACAACAGAAAAGTGACATTAAGGTTTGTTTTTTTTTTATATGGCACTTTTATCCAAAGAACTTTACAATAGTTAGCTAACAGCACAAACAGCATTTGGAAAGATCATGAAGTGATCTGATGAGACCCTCAGCAATTTTCAAGTGATCCAGGAAAAAAAAAAAGAGAGAACCACCGTCTTATAAAAATTAAAATGTACTTGCTAGGTTATTGAGAAGGAAAAAAAAAAGAGAACCACCGTCTTATAAAAATTAAAATGTACTTGCTAGGTTATTGAGAAGGTGAATTCCATCTTCCAATGCCACAGAAATCTCTCAGGCAGAATTCTAAGGTTCATTTATCCTCTGTGTTACCCAGCCACATGTAGGAATAGAGGAAATAAACTCTGTTTTTTACAGCTCCCATAGCCTTATGTAGATTATGGCTATGGGTATGAGGGTAGATTAGCAGCAATAAGATCCCTTATCCCATCCCATACGAGCAAGTGGATGAAGTGGGTACAGAGCAACGGTGCCAATGTCCATAAACATTGGCCAAACTCTGGTGGAGGAAAAGAAGAGTACAGCCGCTCCTAGAGTTATGACCACCTTCACTTACGACCATCCACACTTACAACCAAAACAGTTGTAAATGCACATCCAAGTTATGAACAGCAATCCGCACTTACGAACAGCGCGGTCGCCATGTAACTCTATGGGATCCAAGTTACGAACACTTCGAATTATGGCCAAGTCTTTGGTCTGTAACTCGTTCGTAACTCGGGGAGCGGGCAGTAATTTATACCCCCCAAAGGGATTGAAGCACTTTCCTTTCCAAGCAAGGAAAAAACATGAGCTGAAAATGTAACAAGGTTTAACTCTTTTCAGGAGCTAATTTGCTATGCAGCTAATTTATGTTGATTTTAATATAACAAAAAAGATGCCTATTCATGGATAGGCCCTAGTAACACATCATTAACTCTGCAATTAAATCTCATGTGTGCACCACCCCTCACTTGAGCCTAAGGACTCAACTCTAGCCCTTAATGATTAATCCAAAAGCCAAGAGAATGACAAAAAGGTTAATAATGGCATGTGTCTCATTCAGCTATAGTAAGTCAGTAAAAATATATATTTTATTGCTTAGTGGCTGAGAACTAAAAATATTGGCGATTAGCGGGCAAGGAAACCCTACATTAACATTTTGAGGTTCTCATCAGTTTACTCTATTACTGCCACCATATGTCTATTGAGTTATACCATTTTTATGCAAGGATAAATAATAATGTAAAATGACTGAATATCAGCTTCAATGCTAATTCATTTATCAGAAACTAAAATGAGTTATTTAGTTTTCACTAGTTTGATTCCAAAGTAAAAATTAAGAGAAGGAGAACCTTTTTCCTTTTTAATCAAATGGAAGTGGTAGTAGTTTTGCTTATGGGCTAGGAGGCTTACAAGAAGAACACAGTACATATAGCACTTTCAATGTTTCCCCCTCTCTAAACTGTAAAAAGCAATATTATGCAATCTAACACACCTTAACATGACCAATAGTTATAATACTATAAGCTCCATAAACAATAAGACTGGGTAAGATTTGATAGAATGAGAAAGATTTAAGAGCACTTTTTATTTATTCCGTGAAGATTGTTTTAAGTTTAAAAGTAAAATATGGAATGGACATATCTATATATTGTTCCAGCATTACGCACATTCATACTGCACTCAGACAATCTCATTAAATATTACATTTACCACAGCTTAAGTATGCTGTACAAAAATACTATTTATATTTATCACTTCAGTTTTAAATGTAAACCACTGTTGGTTGCTATTGGTCAGTAGTACTTTCTGAAACCTGATGAAGGCAATTAACAATCAATTTACATAAGATGCATTATAATGTACCCGTTTCATTAAATACATTGAATATATTTTTGAAGAAGATATGGTTAGGGATTGCATAGATAAAATATTAAATGTCAACATGTTTTGCCTTAAAATATATTTTAAAAGTTTATCAAAACAAGCTGGTTTTTTTTTGCACTGAACTTTTCATATAGCTCAACAAACAATCCCCTTTAAATCCAATCCATGCTTTATCCATTCTTAAAGCATTTCTGCTGTCCCAAGAAAGAAAGAAGTGCGATTTTAACTTTTTGTAATGCTAAAAACACTTCCTGAAGTCTGATCCTGTGGATTCTATGGGAGGAGACGAAAATGTGAAGGCCTGAGGGCATGTTTGACCAAAGAAGGCAGTGCTTCATTAACAATCCCCTGTGGTAGACCAAGGTTGCAGAGTTAGGCCTTGTCTACACTTACTGCTGTGAGGATCGATCTCCTGTGGGTTGACTTAGTGAGTCTAGTAAAAACCCACTAAATCAACTGCTGTTCGTGCACCCATTGACTCCAGTACTTCACTGCAGCAAGAAAAGTAAGGGAAGTCAACGAGAGAGATTCTCCCATTGACCCCCTCCAGTGGGGATGCTGATGTAAGTTGAACTATGGTATGTCGACACCTATGGTATTTACATAGCTGGAGTTGTGTACTTTAGTTTGACATTGCCCGTTAGGGTACACCCGGCCTTAGGCTCTAGAGGAATCATTTTCATCCTTATTCTGTCGGTGAGAAGGCAGTTATGACAATGTGTGAGTGTGCATGTGAGTATCAAGAAAGTTTAAAAACAAGATAATGGTGAAAAACAGTTGGCATCAACGAGGTGCCAAGGACCTCAAAGCACAAAATAAAGCTTCCATTAATTAAGTTTCCATTGTTTACAGTTATTCCATATAGGAAATAAAGTGAAAACTGAAGAAAAACAAAAAATAAAAGAAGGGATTTTCTTCTATGTCAGTTAGAATCAAGCAGTGACTATTCCCTTTCCCTTACAATATTCTGATGGACAATATTTAAAAGGAAAAACACTTTTTTTGTTTGAAGCAGTGCAAGTTTGTTCACATCAGTATTGCAGTTAAGATACAGGGATAGTAATTTAATGTCAAACAATTATCCTTGAATCAAAGACAACAGTGAAATAAAGAAAATTTATATAAAATGGCAATGCAACTGAAGAATGACTGGAGACAAACTTGACAGACAGGAGATCAGCATAATTTACATGTTTAAAAACTATACATTTCATTCATAAATATCTTTAATTAATAACCAATCCTATTTTAAACATAAATATTCAAGTTGATATCTGAAATGTTAATTTTTGTTAAATCGATTTTCCACACAAGTCCTGTAAGGATTGATTTCTTTTTGCTTGATGCAGTCATTTAATGGTCATCACTACTTGGATGTGTAAAAACCGTCATTACCTAGTACGTTGTAATAAAAGTTTAAAATTCTGCAACTCTTTTATACTTGTGGAAAGCCTGTAAAACAAACACCCCCCCCCCCAC